CTCACCTCAGCCTCCCAAAGGCGCAGGATTACAGGCTGAGCCACCAAGCCCGGCTATATACTCTTGATAGTTGGGCTCCATCTCTTCCCAGGGTACCAGTCCACTTCCTGGCTTGATTCCATCCTTGCTTTGGCTCTCATTCGTCTCCCTCTGAAGGCTTTTCCTTCTCCCCTTGGCCTGACCCAATTAAAACAGTTTCAAGTGTGATGTTACTGACACATTTCCAGCCTCCTAGCATACTTGCTTTCATGGCCAAACAATTCATCATGTGTCATATGCATCTATTTGGAAAGCACTCCTGTTCCCAAGGGTGCCTCACTCAGGACTCGGTGACTAACAAATATTTAGTGTACAAATGACAACCTGAGTTTACTCAGGCACCTCTCCCCTAAAAAATATTTTTCATTTTTCAGAAATCTTTTAAAAGTAGATGTAAAAACAATAGGTCAAGTTGACTATGCAGCAGCTGACTATAAGCTATGAAACGTGAGACAAAGCTGAAACTATTTATGAGGGCATGGGAATTGGACCTTGTTAAGCACCTGGAATTTATTCATTTGACCAATATTGATGGAGGACCCACTGTGTGCCAGGTACTGGGATGCTTCAGTGGACAAGACAAAAAGACAGCCCTGAGCTCTTACAATCTGGTGGGGGATGGGAGTAGGGGGACAGAGAATAAAAGTAAGTATAACAAATAAGTCTATCTTAAAATATATTTGGGTGCCAGTGCTATGAAAGAGAAATACGGCAGAATAAGGAACATGCATTGGTGGTGGGGGAGAGGTCAGTTTGTATTATTAACTGGGGATCAGGATAGCGGAATTGAGAAGGTGAGATTCACCCAAAACCTTGAAGAAGGTGAACAAGTCAATCAAATAGATCCCTGAAGGAAGAACCTTCCATTAGAATGAAACAGTTGGAGCAAAGGCTGTAAGTAGGAATGGCTGGGCCCAGGTAGCTGATGTGGAATGAGTGGGAAAGAGTGAATGGAAACCCTTCAGAAGACCATGGATGGGGCAGGCCATGGGCACCACCAGAAGAACCCTAACCTTGACTTGGTGAAGTGGGAGTCACTGGAGGACTGTGTGCCAAGGATAACCCACTGGGGCTGGCTGTGGTAACAGGAATTCTCTGACTGCTGTGCTGAGAATAGACTGCATGAGGCAGAGGCAGGAGCAAGATAGCAAGATAAATAACTACTACAAATGTTCCAGTGAGAAATGGCAGCAACTCCATCCAGGGTAGTCCCTGGGCAGATGTTGGGAAATGGTGGAATTCCGAATATATTTTGAATGCAGAGTCAGCAGGGTTTCCTGATAAATTGAATGTAGAGTAAAAGAGAAAAAGGTGCCAAGTCTGATACCACAGTTTAGGCCTAGAGTGTCCACAGGAGGCCAAGGCTGTCAGTCCTACTAGAGGAAGTTGTGGCGGAGTAGGCTGGGGTAGGGGAAGCTCAGTTTGGAACAGGTGGAGATTGAGATGTGTATCATTGTTCAAGTAGAAACACTAAGTAGGCAGTAGGCTACATAAGTCTAGAATCAGAAGGTAAGGTCCAGGCAAGAAACAAAAGTTGGGGAGTCATTAATATATAGATGGTATTTAAAGTAATAAGACTAAGTGAGATCACCAAGGCAGTGAGTGTAGACCAGCCAGATGAGTGTAGATAGAAAACAGGAGCAAGTGTCTTGGCCATGTCCCTGAGAGAGCAAGTGGCAGAGGTAGCTTCTAACCCAGCCTGGTTAACTCCTTCCCACATCTGGGCTAGTTCCACTGCTCCTGGTGCCCCACTCAGTGGGCTGGATGTATGGGACCCAGAATATGGGAGTTTTCTGGTGGATCCCAGATCCTTTGACACCAGCCCAGAACAACCAAATGACAGATGCAAGTCTCAGGGCAGGGTTTCCTTTGTCTCAGGTAGAAATTAGAGAGGAGGGGTCATAACCATGCTGTGGCTACTTTGGGAGACTGGTTTGCTTCTTTTGGTTTGAGAGATCCTCACAACAGCTAGAGTTGTTTTTCTTACAACAGCTAGAGTATCATTGGAAAAATAAATCTTCTGAATAGCTGTTATTTATTTACCTTTTTTTGAGTTACATCCGTCCCTTCCCTCTCCCTCCCTCCTTCCATGCCTCCTTTCCTTCCT